AAAACCCCAAACCTAAACCCAAAACCTCTAGGCCCAATCCTGGGCCCAAACCCTGAGCTGCCTCCTTCACTCCAGCAAGGTGGAGCAAGCCGTAGAGAAGCATGGACGCATGGCCTCAGAGGTAGAGGTTCAGGGTTTAGGGTTTGAGGTAGATTGGACTGGGCTGGGGTTCAGGCTCATACAGGGGCCTGAATACCGAAATCCAAGAGGTTTAAAACAGCGAAAGAACAACGTAAAGCCGAACAAGGCGGAACCTGCGAAAAAACCCAACTCCGACGCTCAAGGCAGACCTCAAACCCGAAATACAATATGAAGCATTGCCAAGCCCACCCGCTTCTTCTCTCCCCCCCCACGCTATGCCCCTGCCCCTCTGCGGATTTGTGGGTGGGTTCAGCATTGCACTGGGAAAGGAATCCCGACCATCCGGTGGGGCATGGGGGGTGGGTGGAGCACGCGGCGCCATGTCTATCAGGAGGGGTTCCTGGATTGGGTGTCAGTGCCCAAGTGACATTCATTTGCCCTGGGTCCACGGCCCGAACTCGTAGCATTCAAAAACCTTTCTTTTTAGACAGGCTTACGGGCACTGTGATTGCCGGTCTATTGGGTTTCTGCTCATATTGGCAGTGCGCATCCCACGCGAAAGCCTTGATGAACAACTTCTATCCTGCTGAAGTGCACAATCACATCTGTTCCTGGAAGAGGTGTCCAAACATTGCTTGCGCAAGGTGCGATAGGACATGAAGCAGCACTTCGCAAGTAAACTGCAACACCCTCGGCGATAATCATGGTGATGACGGATATGGTCGCTATGAATAAAGATGGCGATCATGATCATGCCATCATCACGCTGACTTGTTGGTCGTCAACATGACAGTTGTTTTCCCCCTCGTGGCAGCGGTGCTGCTTTTCACGACGAGACTTCCACGGTTTCTGGAGCATCAACACATTTAAGTGCGTCAAGCTTGAGTCGGACGCAGTAAAATGCAGGAACCCGATTTAGAAACCCTGGATTTTTTATTAGGGTTCTTAATATGAACCNNNNTCTTAATCAGGTTCCTACATTATCACTAAAACTTGGTCGCTGCATACGAACACGACCTCAGGTTCTATCACACCTGCTCATGAAGGCCTGTCGGTGTCCAGGCTGTTCTGCCACGCCCTCATCAACCATCGGCAAAATGCTTGGACAGGCCGTGTTGACGATTAGGTTGTAGCCAAGCAGTAGATAAGTGTGTGGGTGTGTATGCATATATATATAT